CTCCTAGGGAGTGGCCTCCCCCTCCGCAGGACTGTTCCCTCCCCCAGGGCCCCCCCATCATGTGGGTGTCCCCTGAGCTGCCGTGGGGAGCCGCCCCGAGCAGGCCCTGGCAGCTGGCGCTCTCCCCCCCAGGTGAGCGAGCAGTTCGCTCGCTACGTGGACCAGCGGATCCAGGAGAGCCAGACGGACGCGGGCAACGTGGAGTCGCTGCATCGGCTGCAGCAGAGCCTGGAGCCCATCCTCTTCCTCTCCGGCCTGGAGCTCGCCAACACCTTCGAGCACTTCTACCGGTGAGGGGCCCCAGCCGGGGGCGTGGGGAGCTGTGCCCCCCGCCCGGCCTGGGCTCTGGCTTTGCCCGGCGCATCAGCGGGTGCTGGTGCCTGGCTTGTCATGGGGGCTCTGGCTCGGCTCGGGCCGTGGGCTCCCCAAAGTCCAGCCGGACCCCGGCCACCAGCCCAGAGCCTGTGTCCCCAGCCGTGGCTTGCAGGGGGGCAGCAGGGCACTGCAGGGCCCACAGGCTGGGTCAGGCCCAGCCCCGGGCCCCACAGCGTTCACCAGCTGCCGGCCGGCCGGCACGCCCTGCTCCAGGCCATAGCGAAGGCATGGAGGGTCCCGGGGGGGTTCCGGGATGGGAATTGGGGGTGGCTCCAGGTCTAGGGGCCGGGGAGGGAGTCGGGGGCTCTGGCCCCGCCCTGACGCCGGCTGCCGTTGCAGGTATTACCTGGGCGACCGGCTCCTGGCCCAGGGGAACGTGTGGCTGGAACGGGCCGTCGTGGAGCAGATCGGGCTCTGCTTCCCCAATCGCTTCCCCCAGCAGATGCTGAAGAGCCTGAGTGAGTCGGAGGAGCTGCAGCAGCAATTCCACCTCTTCCAGCTGCAGCAGCTCGACAAGCGCCTGCTGGAGCTGGACGCGGGCCAGGAGGATGCGGTGAGAACCCGGGCGGGGCGGGGTCTGGGCTGTGCCCCCTCCCTTCCCCGGGCACATGGGGGGCTGGGGAGGGGGGCGGGGTCTGTGCGGTTCCCCCTCCCTTCCCCGGGCACATGGGGGGGGCACATGGAGGGCTGGGGAGGGGGGCGGGGTCTGGGCAGGGCGGGGTCTGTGCCGTGCCCCCTCCCTTCCCCCAGGGGGCGGGGTCTGTGCCGTGCCCCCTCCCTTCCCCTGGGGGGCGGGGTCTGGGCCGTGCCCCCTCCCTTCCCAGGAGGTGCCACAGATGAGCCCCTGGCGGGAGCCTGACCCCTGGCACCCCTGCGCCCATCCCCAGGCGATGGAGGAGGAGCCGGCCGAGCCGGAGGAGGAGCCGGACGTGAAGGTGCTGGCCCTGTCCCCGCGCTGCTGGACCGTCTCCCCGCTCTGCTACCTGGAGGATCCCAGCAGGTGTTTCCCGCGGCCCCTCGGGGGCTACTTGGCGCGGTTCGCCGACTTCTACACCAACAGTGAGTCTGGGCGCTGGGGGGGGCGACTGGGCCGGGCAGGGGCTGGGGGGTGGACACTGTGCCCCATGGTGGTGGCGGGGAGCGGCGTGTGACTGGAGAGGGGGCACCAGGGGGAGGGTGGGGAACGGGGGCTAGGCTGAGCAGTGGGGTGAGCTCCAGCCCCGCCTGGGGGGTGGGGGGCAGCCCCGGCTGGCTCGGGGACCCCGCGGGCCCGGCGCTCTGGTGGCTCTGCTGGGACTGGCCGCGTCTCTTGCAGGTCAGAGCCGGTTTGGCCTGGAGCACACAAAGCCGCGGCGCCTGCAGTGGACGTGGCTGGGCCACGCGGAGCTCCGGTTCGCGGGCAGCACCACCCTGCACGTCTCCACCCTGCAGATGTACATCCTGCTGGGCTTCAACAGCGCCCAGGTGGGACCCCCGCTCCCCTGGGGGGTGGGACCCCACAGCTGGTGTAAATGGGGCACCAACTGCTCCTGTCCTTGCAGCACAGAGCGCCTTCCCCCCAGCTCATCCGTATGGGGCAGAGACGGTCTGTCCCCACCCCCGGGCAGACACCCCCCTTCCCTCGTGTCGTCCCCCACCACCTCCCGAGCCCTTGGACTCTCATCTCCACGGCCCTGGTCCCTGCCCCCCTGTGGCCAAGCAGCCGCTGTTTCCCCCGAGTGGCTTGTGCCAGAGGAATCTGTGTTATTCTCTCTCCCCTTTGCCCCTCAGCCCCCCCTCCGGCCCCTCCCCCACAGCCCCCAGCGACCTTGCCCCCATGCCACGGCCCCCAGAGACCTCGCCCCATTGCCCCAGCCCCTGGGCCGTGGCCCCAAGACACCTGGCCCGGTTGGCCTGTCCCGGCCCCCAGAGCTGTCGCCCCACCGCCATGGCCCTGCCCCTGCGTATTCACTTCCTGTCTCCTTTGCGCCGCAGGAAGTTGCTGTGGAGACCCTGGCCCAGGCCACGGGGCTGTCTCCTGTCCTGCTGAGCCACGCACTGAAACCTCTGACGGGAGAGGCCGGGATCCTGACCCAGAGCCTGCCTCAGGGGGGTGCGTATGGAGGGACCGGGCAGGGGGGGGGTTGAGCCCTGTCCCTGGGTGGTCCCTGAACAGGGGGACCACAGCTGGGGATGGAGCCCTGGAGCCCCTGCGCTGGGCCTGGTGGGGGTGTGGAGGGTTGGCCGGGCTGGGCTGGGCCCAGAGCAGGTGCCAGGGAGCACGGGGCTTGTCTGTGAGCTGGAAGGGGGTTTGCGTCCGGAGGGGCCAGTCTCCAAGCAGGGCCGGGGGGGGGGGGGGGACGGGGCTGGGGGGGGGGGAGGGGGGGGGCCCCGAGGCGGGGCGGGGGGGGCGGGGGGGGGGGAACTGGGCGGATGTGTGTGTAGGGGCTGGGGCTGGTCCCCAAGAGGGGCCGGAGAGGGTACATGGGAGGGAGGGCGCGTGGAGGGACTGGGGCTGGTCCCCAAGCACGGTTGGGGGGTGGGATATGTGAGGGGGGGCATGGAGGGCTAGGGCTG